TGCAAAATATAAATTTTTTTATCAAGTCTTATAGTTTATAAAGCAATTTTTTTCTCATCTCTTTTTCTTTCTTTTCGAATCTTGCCTATATATCATGCAAAGTAATATTCACTTTAAGAATAAAAACACTTTTATGCATCTGAAAAATTTTCAAATTTCACACACAAAATCTTTATAACGTCCAGATAGTTATCAAACATTTCTTACGAAAAAAACTTCATATTTTATCTGTTATTTTCACTAACGAATCTCTGTATGGGTTCGGTAGATTTGACAATTTATACAGCTTTTCTCCAATGTGTATCAGCTGATGGCTTTTCAGGTCACTTTTCCTTCCAAATTCTACACACACAACACAACTGTGTGATTTTTCTCCAGTGTGTATCTTCAGATGTATTTTTAAGTGACTATTTGTTCCAAATTCTTTGCCACACACTAAACAGCTATATGGTTTCTCTCAAGTGTGTATATATTGAAGTATTTTTAGGTTAAATGTTTCTCAAAAGTTTTTATCACATGCTTCACAACTGTACTGTCTCTCCCCAGTGTGAATCCTCTGATTTATTTCAAATTTATCCTTGCAATCACCTTCTTTAGAACACACAAAACAACTATATTGTTTCTCCTCAGTATGTATCCTCAGATTCTGTTGTTACTAAATGTCTTACCACACAAAACACAACTGTATGATTCATCTCCAGTGTACATATTCTCACATCTTTTTATGTTATTTTCTGTAGAAAATGTTTTGTTAAATTCTTCTTCAGACCTTAGGTTCTGAGAACTGCTGTTCTTTCTATCAGAAGCTTCTCATATCATTACAACCAGGAAATCATCTTCCACAATGGTTGTTCATGGAAATCTCTGGATCTACAAATAGAAGGACATAATTATATTAGTTGATAAAAACATCATACATAAACTTGGTTAATATTTTAAAAAGTAAGAACAGACCCACATTTATAAATCATAATGTGACTCATTAACAATAAAATCATACACTTAAGTGCAAGCTTAACTTTTTAATCACAATTTAAATAAGTAATGTGTTTCCATAAGCTGTATTTTTGAGATCAATAAATTTTGCAATTAAGGTATGAAATTTTGTCTTTAATGGTTATTTTTATTAACAAGTTGATGATGTAACTATTGATTCCACATAAGCTCATTCTCTAGGTAATCTTTATTTTATCAATATTCTTTTTCATGAAAAATAAGCTTTCCAGAATTGTTAACAATCTTATAAAACCATTAAATTATCAAAGGCATCTGAATTGCAGTTTTATTATTCTCAAGGATCCAAATAACATTTCTCAGTTATGGATTATGGAAACCATGCAAGGGGCAGTAGTGTGCTTTTCACATAACATTTTTTTATACCACAGAGCCATTTGCTAAGGTGTTTTTGTATGTACTGCTTACCAACAGCCTAACAATTCATTAGATAATGAACAATAAAGCTGTAAAAGCTAATGACTGTTGTTTTAAAATTGATAAAATAATGCATGGAATTAATTTATACTCATCATTACACCAAATAATTTATAATACATCCATAATTGTTATTAAGCTACACAAAAAAGGAAAAACAAACAAATTACAAAATGGTTGACTATAGGGTACACTGCAAAACCACAGCTTCTGCATCCTCCTGCAATTACAACTGATAGATGCATGACTCTTACTTTAGTTGATCTTTAACTAACAGAGTTTTGGTTTATTACTAAACTTAAAATCCACATGAAATATTTCTGTAACCAAGGTAATCTCATCAATCAGGTGTAATTTTCTTGGAAGATATAGTTGGCCAAGTTTATTAAAGAAAATTTTCATCTTTTTACCATGAAGTTAATTCTGTATCAATTAATTAACAGTTAATTTAATGAAAGAAGGTACATTTGGTAAGTACAGATATCAATCCAAACACACATATTCAAGAATGCCGATTCCAAAAAGATGTTTTGACTTTTATTTATCAGTAAATTATTCATTATTGAATATGAATCATTTATGAAACTAAATTGATAGGCAATACAGAATGTTTGTACAGAGAACTGCACAAGTAAACTCACTAGATGAGAAGACATGTGTTTGGTTACTGTAATAACAGTTCTGTTTGTTTGTTATTGATCCATTTAGTGTGATTTGTATATTGCAGAACAGTTTGGTTAAAGTGAAAATTGAGCCACCTGGTGAGTTACAAGAAGATGAGGCTCTTTTAGGATTCAGTGAGAGTAACAATGATGATTTTAGTGTGGGAAAAGAAAATGAATTTCAAGAATAGATGCATCAACTTGACTTTTATTAAACATTTTCCAAAACTAAAAATGTATTTCTGATAGATGCTTACATCTAGCTTTTCTGATTCAGTTCTGCCCTCTACATGCAAAGTTTTTTTGCTGACCACTAGACTTGAGGCTCCCACCCAATATCACGCTTCCATATTGTAGGCAAATGAACATGCAACAACCCTCCACCAATAGAAAACCTGAGGTTGTGCAGCAACATTTTTCCTCAACTTCCTTTGTGTTCCGTCTTTCCCAAGCTTCTTCTTTTCAAGTTGTGTTCCCTTCCTCATAAATAATTTCTGCTCCCTGTTCTTCTATCCCATTCCTCTTCTACCATTCGTGATTCCATTATCTGTAGGTTACAGCACCAACAGTCTTGTCAGTGACTACCATCTGGGCTCAGGAACAGTGGGGCCCATCTGGCTTGATTTGTGGTTCCATGGATTCCTTTTGTAGTTCACAGTGGAGTACTACAGGTTCTATCTATTGGTTGTACCCTTTCTTTTTCCTCTCCTCCCCTTTTGTCTACTTGTTCCCTTTCTTTTCCCTCCTACAGGGGATTCTGTCTTCTACCAGGATTTCTCTAATGTGGTGTCAGACCTTTTGGCCAAGAATGGTATCAAAAGCTTCTCACCCATCTATAGATTTGTATTCTTGTCTGTTTATTGTTCCCCAGTACACTGGGGATCACGACCCTGTCACTACTGTGTGGAAAGTTAATAAGTATGCACATAGAGGCCAGTACTGAATCCAAAAAGCTAGCTGTGACTTGAAATTATGTATTGTATCAGAAATAATATTATACTTCATGTGTATGAAGTATACTTGTACTTCATGTGTACATTTGAGCCTCCTATCTATTTAATTTACTGACATATCAGACTCATCTAAAGAGTCCTTCCCCTCTCTCTCTAAATACAGGGTTGATGGATATATTTTAACAAAGAGAAAGAGCAGGTTCTTTCTATAAAATGCTTATTACAGCGAAGGTTTTGGCACCCATAGAATAACAGTTTGCTGTAGTTTCTTGATGTTAAAATTTTCATAATCTGAACATCTGATGGAATTTTTTAAATCTATTTATAGTGTAGTTAGAAGGGCAGCTACATTATAATACATTTGAGACATCCTAATCTAGTGACTAATATATTTTTTGTGTTCTAGGATGTATGTTTGAAAGCTACGTGAATTATTTTTTGGAGACTCACATTTGTTACATTATTGCTTGTAATTATGCTTAATTTTTCTAATTAATTGGAAGCTCTAGAAGCCTATTATTGAATTCTGAGAATTCAGAGTTCAGATATATCAAGTAACACAAAAGAAATAAAGTTTGGTAATTTTTTAAGGTTTCCTTTTTAAATTAAGAATTCAAAACTGAGATAATATAAAAATTTTAATTATAAATTTTGTTTGCATCACACTAATAATAAAGTAGTTTTAATTAAATTTTGAATGTAATACTGTAAAGAGTCAAAGCATGTGCACTTTGACTCAGCAAGCTGTTAAAGCATTGACTAGAAGCAACATAGGCAATTTAATTTTTAAAAATTATTATTAAGCTACAATAATGAATACACATATTCTGTCAACAATTCATGAATGGAGCCACTTTTCCCAAAACAGAAAACTGTAAAAGTTTTTATTCTACAAGTTACCTCAGTTTTTCGTGTTACTTCAACACAGTTATTTTCTTGTCCCTCTTCTGGTACAACAGACCTATGGACAGCATGTGAAGCCCCTTTACATAAGGACAAAGCTTCCACAGTTGCTAAAGGTATAACATATTTTTATCTTTAATAGAACATACAGTGATGCTTTAAACATCATTAAATTATAAAAGAAACCTTGTTATAAAATGTACCATGATACAGCTAATGTGTTTTTACCTAATTTAACTTTTTCACACCTGGATGATTACAGTCCACCTTGAGGGTAAAAACATAAATATAAAAAAGTACTGAAAATCAACTTATCGTCATTTTTCCACACATAAAAAAAACAAAACTTCAAAACCTTCATTAAAAAGGTTTATTTATTTAATTTTATACTTAAAGATTTAAATAATTTGCAAGTTTTGATTTTGGGCTCATTCTTGCATGCTCCTAATAAAATCATAACTTTTATGAATTTCCTAAGCATAATATGGCATTGATAGTACCCTAGAAGTCACAATAGTTTTGAACAAAAGAGTGATAATAGGTCTATATAACTTAAATACAAGTGTAATTTTTGATATTTTTAGCCAGTCACTGTTTATCAACCACAGCTATCATGTTGTGAGGCAACTGCTTATATCTCAGCTTAGAAAATGCATAGGCTACATATCTTTTTCAGTTTCTTTGAACTATAAAAACCAATAAAACTTCCACTTCAGCAAAACTTTGCATAAATATCACAATAATAGGATAAATGCTTGGCCTTGTAGTATTTAACTACTTAATTAAGCAACATAAATTGCCAAAATGAAATTCAAAATATATCATAAGTATGTTATAATGTATAGTAGGAATGGGGTGGGTAAACAATACATGCAATACCAACTATTTATTCATATATACCTTTAACAACCATATAATAAATCTTCTAAGGTATTTGAGAGACACCCTCAGATGAGTGATAAACAAACTACACATAAAATTACAAGTCATAGAACCACTTTAGACAGTCAGATAAAGCAAGAGGAAATCCTCAATAGCAGTGGCAGGATTAGAGTAAATTAATCTATGAGACCTTGGGCATGGTCAAGTACACCAATCAGAAAGGTTTGGCCTCCTGAATCCAAAACTGTAATTAGATCTCAAATCGGTCAAAAGATGACAGAGCTATGAGATAGAATTTGTAGTCAGTCTAAATTCCTTGGAATGTCTACCCCAGAAGAAAGGCACTCCATCCATGAAGAGATGGATTTCCACATGAGAAGGTGGTATCCAGATCCTGATATTTGTGTTGTTCCTGTCTGGCCAATACTTGAGATCTGCAAATTGTTCAAGCAAAGAGACAGTGTGATCCAAAGGATTGGTATGCGTGAGCCACTGCTCATGAAATGGCCACTGAAAGGATCTAATATGAGCCTGATCCAATGGTATGAGAGATTCTAGGGAAGCCCAAATCCCCAAAACAGATAGAACCATCCATGCAGTGGGAGAAGGTGACATAAGCAAATGCCTGACAATCCCTTCCCTAGCGTAAAGTCTGAGGGGAGAAGGTTGAGCTCGACTCAAAGTGCATTGAAAAACGCCCCAAGACGGACCATGTATGGAGTTGGTGAGAGAATGAATTTTTCCAACCTGATATGAAGTCCATCCTTCTGGCACTGGAAAGGGAAATCTGTGAATGTAGTGTGAATAGGTGACAGGTTGGTGCCAAGAGAAGTCAATCTTCCAAATAGCAATGTGTGCACAGACCCAGAAAATGAAGATGCTGCTCAAAGGCCCGTACTACTCGGCAGAAAACATATGGTGCTGAACCAAGTCCAAAAGGGAGAGCTTGGAACTGTTACATGTGGTCCTTGTGCAAAAAAATGTAGAAATTGACTAAAAAGACTGTGCTATGGAAAGGTGAAGATAGGCGTCTGTAACATCAAACTTGGTCATCCAAAGATCAGGTGTGAAGTGCCATTGAAGTTGAAGGAAAGACTTGAAACAAGGAGGCTGTAGGAAGAGATTGAGTCGAGGCAGATTGATGATAAAACACCAATCTCTAGTGTTCTTGGTTACCAGAAAAAGACGAGAATAGAATCCTGGATGAACAGGATCGAACTTCTTAATGGGTAAACACCAATGCCACTGGTGCCATCTCAACCTTCTGGAGATCCCCGAGAATATGGACAGAACCGATTCTGTAAACCAATAGGAAAAGGTGTCGAAGGTGGGGGGCCGCGAGACACAAATGATCGATCCTCCAGAATTACTCGTTGGAATAGAGGAGAGGTGAGCAGCCAATGACAATAAGGAAACTGCAAATGTGCCATATAAAATTGGGCTTTAAAAGTTTCAGGGGCTCTAGCAAATTAGTAAGATTGAAAAAGAGACGACTCCCGGAAATCACAAAGAGGAGTATCACAATACAGTAGTAAGAGTTATATGAATCTTCGAAAATGGAGATATGGTAAGAGGATAACAGGTTCTAACCTGGAACCCCATAGATCCAAAAATAAATCAAACTGTTGAATGTCCAAATATACTACAGCTAAACGATGTTAAGCCAGGGCATGTTGTTCTGATAAATGAGGGGAGCAAGGCATAGCAATACTCTCTCGTAATTGCATTGTAAACATCCCAGCATACACGGTCAAAAGCAAGAGGGTGAATCTTCAAAGTTTCACAAACTCAAATAACTAACTGCAGAAAAGAAGCAGAAGGTGGCCAATCAGATGAGCCCTCAGTAGAGGCAGCTCTAGTGAAAGACGGAGCAGAAAACAGCATATTCCAGTATATTCAGGTTCATGATAAAAAGCCAACTCTGAACTCCCGAGCCGCATGAAGGACTCCAACTTATCCTGAATCAAGTCACGGATGGCCTTGACTGCTGACTACCATCACACAACAGAGGAATGGATGAGGTCTGGTTAAACCCCCTGCCAGAAACCATTGCATGGGAATTCATACCCGGAAATTTTTTTTTGAACTGCAAAAGAAAGCCAATGAAATATCGGCAATGGAAAAAAAACACACCAGACTACTGTCAAAATGCTTCAAAAGAAAATGTTAACCATAAAACATAACTCCTAGCTCTAGCTCTTTGTCGAGAAAAAGTGGTTATATTTTCAATGTATACAGTGCTTATACAAGTACCTGCATGGAGGGTGTATGAGGGTAGGTGTAAACTTTTGCAAATTAGATATTGCTGAGGGCAGTCGAGTGGAGTATAAGGACTGGAGCAAGCAAACATGATGTTTAGATGGCAAAAATGAAGATCGAGAAATAGCTATAAGTGTCAGTGGAGGTATGTATGTTTTGGAACATACAACTTACCACAAGTATTAAATAAAACATTCTGATCTAAAAATTTTGAACAGTAGGCATGATTATTATAACAATATATATTATTTTTATTTTATGTCAGTGATTATGAACTCAGTGATACTTTGTGTTTTGTTTTTTGATTAACAACAAAAATATAATTTACTTTATTCGACAATTTTAAAAGAATGTAATATGATATAAAACTCAGTAATTAAAATCTACAACAAAGATAGGTAATTTTAATTGATTCATAAAAAACATATTACAATGAAATATTTTTGAAATGTCAAACATCCAAATTCATGCAAATATCACTAATAAAAATGTCTTACTTGTAAAAGCCACATAATCTGTAGAATATAATTCTGAAGTTCCAAGCTATTTCATCCAGTAGTTTTTTTTTTCGTTTTTTTTCAGTGCAATAAAGCAAACCATACAACATGTGCATAAAATCAATGCATGTCAGTATTATGTAATTAAAGTACATTTTTTCAAGTTACAACTAAAGGGTGCTTACTAATAATAAACTAATCAAAACCTTTCACAATCTTGGTCTGAATGATTTTGTTATACAAATACCAGAAATGAAACATCATATGACATGATAACAAAAACCTTACACCCCTTTCAGTCATGGTTAAGTCATGTTATTTTTATTCACTTCTATTACAGAGCATAACAATAACAGGCTCAATAGAGTAAACTATGTTTGAGCCAGCCAACAGGACGCCACAGGAAGGACCAACTATGGAGTTTCCTGAATGATGAAGGAGACAAATAGGGAGATAAGTAAAAAGAAACAGCTAAGAGAGAATGAATGTAGAACGGAAAAAGGGAATTCTGGCATTGTTATAAATGGGCAAAGGCACTGATGAGAGGGTTCCCAAATGAGAGCAAAGCTAGTGAAAAACCTAAGGATTGAGGGACCACTCCATTGAAAATATCATGTCAGGCCTCGAGAAACAATCCATGACAAAATTCAAGGTACCCAGAACATGACAAGTTACCAGTCAGAATTGTAGAGAATCAGTCCAGAAAAGGAGGTCAAGGATATGGAAGCAGAGAGAGCAAGACCAAGTGCTCCAAAGTGAATGATATAGGATACCACAGTTGAGTTGTCTATATGGATTAAATAACCTTGTACAACTGTAGAAAATTCATCCACAGCCCATCAACTCACTAAAAGTTCCAAGAGATTTATATGACGGGTCAATTCATTTGGGAACCATCAACCCAAAATCTCCCAAGAGTTGACACAAGCACCTCACCCCTTCATGGAAGTATCTGTAAAAAGAAACATCTTTTTTAGTATTAATTCTGTTAAGTCAAAGGGAAAAACTGGTTTACAGGGAAGAATGAAGATGGATAGGGGATGACAAGGTTTCCCATGAGAGGTTCCACTGATCATGCAGTGTCCACTGCAAAAGATGCATATGAGCATGGCCCAAGAGAGTAAGGGATTCCATGAAAGCTCAAGTCCCAAAAAGAGAGAGAACCTCCCACATAAAAACAGAAGTGGAAACCAACTGCTCCATGTCTCTCAAATGAAGTGGAAAGGCTGAGCTCTGCTAAGATGTGAACTGAATATCACACCCAAATGAATCAGATATTGAGAGGGCATTAGACTTCTCCAGCTTGACCAACCAACCAGGACAAGCTGCCTACTAAAGGAGGCCGGTTGAGATGGAGTGAAAAGAAACCAGCCCTCTATATAATGGTGAAGCCACAATCCCAAGCCATAATTGTAAGGAGCAAAAGTACACGCTATATGACAAAATATGTGCATAGCTAGCACAAAGCCAAA